TTTCCGTTGTATTCTTCTTCAATTGTGAAGTTGATGTCGTCAAAGACGTTGTTTAGCAGTTGGATTACTCGGTACAGTGCGCTTTTTTTGATGATCACGAATGTATCGTCCACGTAACGAACCCATATTTTGGGATTTATATCGGGCATTACGATTTGTTCCAATTTTTGCATTGTGACTTCTGCAATGAATCCTGAAATCGGCGATCCCATTGGTGTCCCTCGTAGTTGTTCATAATATTCTCCGTTGAACTCAAAATGTGTGATCAGGCATAAGTCGAGTAATCTGCAGAGGTCTTCCTTCTCCAGCGATCCAGTTGGCGTGTCGTTGTTGTCCAATAATTCGGCCACAGTTGTCTTGGCTGAATCGAGATCTACAGACGTGAATAGTGAGCATTGTTTAAATGAAACCATTATTTCGTCCTGATCGTCCTGTTTTAGTTTCTCCAAAAATTGTCCCGCATTGTTGATTGAGTATTGCGACCCACCGATGAGATGCTTTAACCTTTTCCATAGTTCTTTCGAAAGATTGTAGGTCGCTGTTTTAGGAAGTGATACAATTGGCCAGAGAGGTATTGATTCTTTGTGTACCTTTGGGAGTCCGTAGAAGCAATTTTTTTATGAATTTTATAAGGACAATCTTTGTATATTCTGCTTAAGCTGGCTAGGCCCGAAAACTGTAAGGTTCATCACTGACTAGGCAATTAAATAACAGTTTTCTGTGTTCGTTCAAGCACAAAACTTTCCCGTTTGGCTTCCGTGCGTGTGTAGTTTTCCTTTTTTTCAGGCTTCAGGAAATGCTCTGCTGTCTTAGCAGTATACAGTGTATCATTACAAACAGGTGGAAGCCAAAATGAGAACTTCATACATACAGTGAATGGAGATCATAGCACCATAACCAACTTTGTGTATATCCCTCAAACAAGGATCTATGATACAAAAACAACGGTTAAAAATAGGCAACTAGTGGCATAGGTAGTCTCTTTCCATGCCGGTATATTTTGGTACACTACAAGTGGCGTCACTGATGCTACATCATGTCAACATGGACGATTTGGGTTCCACCCCCGGCAATCTGGTATCAGAGAAAATTGTGTAATGTATTCATCACTTCTAAGCCAACCGGCTGGATTCAAATCAAACCAAAAGCCCACGTCACAGCGTGTTTCTGTGGTCACAGTGAAACACATCACGCGTGAAGTTACATGGATAGGTTTGTGGTACATAGATCCTAGAATGATGGTATTGTCGACCTTTAGTTCGTTGCCATTTTGTTTCTGAGGAATGGTCTTGTTCAGCAAATAATCTTCGTTTTGGGTCAGTCATTTTATTGTCTTTCATATCAGGAAAAAAGACAACAATCACCATGAGCAGGTCTCCTCCACTGGTTCAACAAGTTCATTTGGGAGCTTGTCTGATCAACTACTTGATTGTGCAGAGAGGTGGTCTGCAACTCTTTCGTACAGCATCATACCTACGTATATAGCAAAGCACTATTCAGTAGACAAAAATCTATTCTCTAAGGATTAATGGAGCCTGCGCATTCGCATTTTTTTGTCTTCAGTAACAGCAACATTTCTCTATAATGTGTTTTACCGTTCTGGCAGGAATGCCCTCAGTAACTGTTCAACGTGCACCGTACGAGCTTGAAACGTAAT